ATATTTCTTTTACTGTATCTAAATTTGCATTTTCCCAAAACTGCTAATTTGGAATTTTTTGCATTATTTTGAGTCAGACTAGTGAAATTTATTACGCCTTATCATCAATGTGTGCCTTAAACACTTCTTGATAGTGCTGTGTCTATTTGAATTGTGTGTCACTGCACCTTGTACACACTGCCTGCTCACTGCACCTTGGTGTGTGTTCGTGTGTGTGTGTGTGTTGGATGGGAGTGCTTATGTGCAGCTCATGTGTTAATGCTGTCGTTTCCACAGATCAGTCACAGCAGCCTTTTCTCTGTTGTTTATGGTTATGTCACCACAATTACAAGAGAGAAGGGGGGCAGAAATAAAGTGTCTGTGAAAGATTGATAGCTTTGGTCTTTAGTTCAATTGTAAATTAGAATAGCAAGTCCCTCTGGGATACAAGGGCTCTATTTATGATTAAGAAAGAGCCTCCGTAATAGAGTGGTGGTAGAAAAGTTTGCTCCCTCTCACAAACAGGCAATTAGCTTGATGAAATGGGGCCTTACTTTTTTTTCGCAGCCTGCTTATGTGAACCCATATTATTATGGGCAGCCGCATAGTTTATGATTTTATTTTCACCTTGAGCTGCAAACAATATGGTGTTTAAATAAACTGTGGCATTTTTCTTGTACACCAGCGTTTTATCACTACCGCTGAATTTGGCCAGAGCAAGTTCAGAACAAACAGAGGCGTTTATATCATGGGAGGAAGGTGGCAAATATCACACCACTGCTAGTTTTTGGACCGGCTGAGAACCTGCAATGGGAGCGTTAATGATATGGATGAAGGCATATAGATATGGACTTTCACCAATTATTATTGACTTAAATTCATGCGTGCATTCACTTCACACCAATGCTTCATTATGTCCTGTTGTAATTAGTGGTTTTAATAGTACTGTACACACTGAGTATACTCATTAACTTGCTCACAAATTGCTTTTCATGGAAAAGCAGGATTTGCCGACATGTGATGTGTCTATACACGTTGGTTCGACCTGTAAAGCTTAAGACCCATATTTTAACACTCATAATGAGTTTTCATAAGTGATACAAACCTGCAATTTGAGCCAGTTTACACAATGATTCCATCTTTCTTCAGAGTTTTCCTTTATAGCGCCTAATCCTTGCTTTGTGGGCTCATTGCCATGCCAGTTATTCAACCTGACTGTGCAGATTTGTCCCCTACTGTATGTTTTCCTGGAAAAGATCAGTCACACCCTTTTTAACAGGCTAAGCTTTACTAATGTTTCATTCATACAGGAAAATCTGGATCAAAAAAGGGGGCCAGGAGTTAGTATTAGTTAACACAGTGGAGCAGTCTATCTGAAAAGCTATAAATCCTCCTGTGAAATAAGCTACGTAAAAGATTATTACCAAAACCATTATGGTTAATGGCATTTTGGCCCAAAAAAGACTGCAGAGTGGGCTGCACATTGTCCAATATCGCCGGTTGTGTTGTAGCGACTGAACAAGTAAATACGTGAGCCAGTGTGAGTCAAAGGTCACATAGCAGGAGTTATGAGATGATTGTCTGCCGGGGCCTCGACAGTCATTAAAAAGTGAATAAACAACAATCACACATGCACATGGAATAGTGCGTACCTGGTCAAAATGTGAATGAACATTAATTATTATGTTAATTGAAATGCATTACGAGCATGTTTAATTGAAAAAAGAAAATGCAGTTATTATATTTTCCGAGGCCATCATCACTGGCAGTTGTTGCAGGAAGCTAGTCTGCTACAAAAATGGTTGTGTGTTGTTCTCTTGTGCTTATTAATGAGGTAAAGCTACATGAAATATTATATTACTATCCTGTGCAGGTATCGGCGAATTAACTCTGAGGTAACAGGATGAACAGGGTGAATTTTAAAGCTACCAGAGAAGGCTGCACCACAAACTCCTGATGATTTCCCGCCGTTCACTACGTGCCGTACCTTCCACCTCAGCACCAGCGCTGCACTGCCCTGAGCCTTTCTTTACTCAATTAGTAATTTAATGGGCACCGACTGAAGGTTTGTCTTGTTGGCTGCAAGACACATTTGCGTTGTGTGTTTTTTTTTTTTTTTCCTGCTTATACATCTCCTTTGCAAGCCAGATGAGGCTTCTCAACTTCAGACAACACGAGACATGTGTGGCCACCCTTTTTTTTTTTTTTCTTTTTTTGATAGTTCTGCCCGAGGGCACATACTCCTGTGCCAGCTGTTGTCATGGAAATTACACCAGTTTATACCATTTGTTTTTCCCCGTACAAAGACAGTGGTGATCATCCAGTAGCTATTGTCGTTTCGGTGTTTACACTTAGCTAATAAGTTCATTTTTGTTCTCTGTTTGCTTTAATGCCTTCCAGTTTCTCCATGCCAGACGTTATGGCGGCACAGACAGCCTCGGCAGCCACCATTGTTGTTTACAGCTCTGTTGCGCCTGTCGATTGATCCACAAACACATGTAACTCTGACTGTGATTCACCAAAAGCTGATTAAGTGTTTTCTGTGGGTTCGCAGCATTTTTAATCATCTCGGTTGTTAGGGCTGTCTTTTTAAATTTGTGTGTGTGTTTTTTTTGTATAATTATTTATCATACCTGCTGATCTATTTCGTCTAGATATATAGGTCAAGGCGTAAGACGCGCTGAGATCTCGATGCAATGAAAAGAGCAGTTTACAGCTACTTTAGCCCTGTAAGAAACTGCTTTGTGGCTGTAATGTAAATGGCTGAATGAGCTGCCTGTGGATAAAGTATAAAGATGTTCTCGTGCAGCGTGAATAAAAACTAAATAACAAAATGCAGGATTGTGTTAGCCTAAGGATATGAAATAATCAATTTGTCACGCTGGCAGTTATCTAAATGTTTCTCTCATAAATCATTACAATTCAGGCCATGCTGCCGAAGCAACACCATTGTCTGTGCCGCCACCTAATTTAAACGTCCGATAATCTGGGATCTCGAGGTAACCGAGGGCCATCTTGGTAGGAAAAAAAAAAAAGAAAGAAAAAGTACAGCTTGAATTAAATCTTGCAATCTTTAAATAACTAAATTGGCCTAAACACCAGCCGTCAGCGGATGTGACAGAGGGAGCTGTCAAGCATCAACATCAGGTGTTTTATTTTGTTCCAGTAAAACATGCCAGTGAGCACCGATGGTTACACCTCCTCTTCATGTTCTTACGCTTTTACATACACCAACACAAGGTCCCTCAGCGATGTGGAAACCCAAAGCCATGACTGTAATCAGCGATATCTTCCTGCTTTTGGGTGTAGAGCAGCTAAAGATTGTTTTAGTTTCACATCACAGCGGTGCAGCATTTTAACACTTCATGTTCCAAGAATGTACCAACTGTCCTGCTACAGTATAAAACACTATACATCCATTTATTCACTTTTTCTTTTTAAACATTTGGTATGATGTCGTATTAAAAAGTTCAACCTGAATGCTAGGATGCTAACAAAATATTTCAGTAATGGCTCATTGTTGTTTTGTTTCTTTACGCATATTAATTAAAAAACCTTATCCGCACCTTTTCTTTAAAAATGGATATAAATGGTGACAAAAAGAAAAGAATTCCAGCCAGAGGAGTGTTGTCTGGTGTGCACGCACTGTGGAAAAGTTTTGTATTATACAATGACTGCCTTGCAAGCCATAATAGTTAATTAGCAGATCATAAACTGGAGCCCCTGAAAACAAATACTGTTTATTTGTCAGAATATATTAGAGAACACAGTGACTTCCTCAAGCCATCACATGTACACAGTTCTGAGTTTATTGTCAGTAGAGCAGGTCTGATATTCGACTCTGATGACAGGATGAAGGGAGCATCAACCCTCTCATTGTAAAGCCACAAGAAGCTTCAGCACGTCCTCAGATGAAGGTAAAGTAGCCAAGATCCTGTAAATAAGCGATTTCAGTTTTATAATGGCTTTTCCCCTTGAGGGCAACCTCACACCAAGACATTTTTCTCCTTTTTTTTTTTTTTTCTCATATGGAGTCATTGCTATTGTGGAGGTTTAACCAAATCCCATTCACATTCCATCTCGCTTTTACTCCATCCATAAGTTTGCAAGGACCATTGATCAAATGTGGATTTGTGTGATTGAAAAACCTCAAATGGAAATATTTGCTGTTATGCAGCATGCTCTATTACCGAATGTTGAATCAGTGCCTGTGGAAGCAGAGATGTACTTAACATTGTCAATATTCATGGACTGCCGGTTTTGTTCATAGTTATAAAATTAATGTCTGCAGCACGTTCATAAAGAAACGCATTCTTACGACCAAACCTTTAAGCTGGGTCGTTTCCTCAGCCTGCAGTTTGTGGGATCGGAAGTGGTTCAAGTTCAAGTCGCTGCGGTTTTTGTTTGAGCGTGTATGAAAGTCTGCACTTTGTTCAGATCAGGTTCAGAGCTGACATCTTTTTTTCTCCGTCCTGAAGCTGAAGGTAAAACTCCAGACACACTTCTCAAGTCATTCCCATTTTCTTTAGTTTGTACTTGACCAAATATAATGAAATTCCAACTATCCAGTATTGCTGGAAGATGTTTTTCAGATTTTCTAATTCTCCACATTTACATCACAGAAATATTTTTTTGTGTGAAACATAAAATGCTGAAGGTCGTATGATCACATTTTCAATGGAGACCAACGTGCCGGTGCTTACGCCGTACATGCTTTCAGTAAACCTCCAGAAACACCACGAACAGGCAGTTTACTTCTGATCGAGATATTCTACAGAATCGGGAAAAGCCAGAGATTGAACAAGAGGATAATTTGAAAATAGCGAGCCGCACTCTTGCTGTTTCCAACCTCTCATTATGGATTTTACCAGCATGTTGTCTTACAGTGGAAAACAGTAGCTCCAGTGAAACCCTTAATTTACATTTTACAGTAAACTATCATGGTAGAACTGCAGGAATTGATTCCTAAAATGGAACGGACATTAGTTTTTGTAGAGAGAAAAGCAGTCAAAACACAGCTCTTATCTTAAAACTTTATTTGTCATAGATGTGGCACACTGCAAGTTAGAATCATACACATGGGCGACTTAAGCAGCTACTGAAGCAACAATACAAACTAACACTGGAGCGGACATCTCATGAGTGTACGCGAGCACATCAAGACTTTCCAAAAATCTCCAAAAAGTAAGAAATACAGCTATTATTCATATTTACCAGCATGCATTTATGAGCCCTGGTGCTACAAAGAGAATCATTTAAACTGAATGAACACATAAACCTGGTGACACAATGTTGTTGAAACAATAGCAGTTTAATGTGATCTATTGGCAGCTGAGTGCCACGACGAAAAGTGTGGCTTCCATTTAGACTAATGCACGGTTAGATATTAAGTTTAAGCAAATAAAACCATCTGAATAGCTGTAACGCGAAGCTGAAGTAAGCCTGTGCTACATCCGTTTGTGTAGTTTTTACATATCCCCCACTGCTACCACATTACACCTTGAGTTACAGTAATTCAATACACTGTCTGCTGCCTTTGGGGCCACATGTGAGCCATGTCTGGCTCAGGACTGAATGCTGCCACGGCTTTCTCTCTCTTGTGTCTTCTCCCAAACTTTTTCACTCTGAGCACATGAAAAAAAAAAAAAAAAAGAGTGTGAAGCGAGTGGACTGCCCACTCGCCCCTTTTTTTTTTCTTTTTTTTTTAAAGAGAAAAGCGAGGGCTCAAAGAGACACATATCACAAGTGCCTGGTACGACTGCAGTGTTGTGCTGATGGTCGCTGCTGCAGCTCCACTGGGACAGATGGGATTTAAGCTGCTTTGCCGAAGGGCACTTCAGCAGTAGTTTTCTGGGGGTTAGAGAGCACTTATCACACAATTCCCCCCACCCAGACTTTCCCAGCGAGTCCTTAGAGTTAAACCATTGACCCCTCTGGTCATTGCTGCTACAATGCTGCTGCCTGAAGTAATCATCATGTACGCTCCATCTATGCCGTCTTTAGCAGCCAAAACAACACGGCGTTTACACCACTCATCTTTCTCTCTGCAGTTTTTTGTGATCACTTTAAACCTAACAGCAATGATTCAAACAATAAGCATTTACAAATACATTAAGAGCGCGCTGGCAGTCAGCCTAAAGAGTGATCATTGAGACAAATTGATCCCTATCTGTTTAAATTGGCACTATAATCTGTCATTGGCAAATTGAACACAGTGAGCTATCTGGGATCTATTGCCTTTTTAGATAGCGGCCCTTGGGGCACGCAGACAGAGAGAAAGTGATCTACATCGCTGAAACAACTCTATGAAAACGGCCTCGACTCAAACATGCATGTATGTCTGCTTTAAAAAAAAATGATCACACACCTTTTTACCCTCACAGCCTACATACCATCAAACCGCTTACACACACACACACACACACACACCACATTTACCATAAGGGGGTGTTAATTAAGATAATGGAATGCAATTTTTTGTAATGACATTATTAAGAGGCCAAAATGACAGAAACATAATTTAAAGGACAGGTCAGACATTTGTCATTAAAGTGCGTGAAAGCCACAGTCTGGAGCGAGCAAAGTCAAAAGAAACTGCAATGAGTACAAATTATCAGCATGAAACGTGTAAAATAAAATAAAATAAATCCTCTGCCCACACAATCTTTTTTTTTTTTAACATCCTGAAAATGTAAACATTAAACTATCCTTACATTAGAATATATTTTGCTTATGTTAAGCTTATTTCTTCCTTTGATTATGAGTCTGAAGTCGCTTCTGGAAACTTTAATTATGTTTTGTCAGCAAATATTCTTTACCTAAATGGAGCCAAATGTACAAGCAGACATTTGACTAATTGGTCTAGTTTTTTTTTGTGTGTTTAGTTTTTTTTCTCATCTTTGCATATAAGCAACATCACAATGAAGCAGCTCTGCCATAAAGAGACCAGACAAAGCCTGTAGTGCAGAGTTAAAGGCTGCTGGCTGATATTATGCAATGCAACAGATAAAAATGCCATGACATATGGGCCACAGACACCATCAATCAAGCGATCTTTATCAAGCAGGAAAAAAAACAATTTGTAGGTGTTTGAAGAGTTTTTCGAACACTGACAGTGAGCTGGAGATGTTTCATTTTACCTGTTGCCGGTTAACAAGGAAATAATCTCTTCCTATTATGTGGAGTTAGGTTCTGCTTTTTATTTGTTTATTTATATATTTTTTAAATATGTAGATTTAAATTGTGCAAATTGCCAAAAGTGACTGAGGGTGTTTTTTTTTAAGTGAGACAGTTTAGTTTCTGTCCTTATTCCACAGTCATCTAATTCAATCAGACTCTTGAAGTTGATTAGCCTGGTTAACCTTTGCTCCTGCGCGGGTCTGGAAGGGTTAATCAGGCCGGGAACTTGGAGACCTCCGGGTCAGTATCCCTCTATCTGCATGAAGGACTTGGTGAAGGCAGAGATAAGATTAAAGTCAACTTTTTCCTCTCTCTCTCTTTCTCTCTCCACCAGTTTTGACTTTTAACACAAGTGTGAGAGAGAGGACTCTTCACCCGTCAGCAGGACAATCCTCCTCTTCTTTTTTTTTTTGGATCGTTTTTAAAATATAGGATTTAAAATTTTACCCGCTTGTTTAGTTTTGTAATCTGTTGACTTATTACCACACGTGTCACTTTAACCTGCCACAGGAGTGAAAGCTATTTTTTTTTTTCTTCTCTCCCCTCCTTTTTTCTTTTTTTACGCGCCCGTAAATCTCAACTATTATCTATCTCACTATCGATTAATTTAACTGCAATCATCCCAATCAGCACATCTCCACTCCTGCGTTCCGGGAGCGTGTGCTTTGTTTTACTAACAATAATAAAGTGATTTAGTCCCTTCTCCCAGCCGGAGCATGGGAAATCGTTAAAGATCCAGCTATTTGTGTGTGATCAGTAAATATTTAGTGCAGGCGACATCCTCTGTCTCTTCTTAATCGATACTGATCCCGTTGGGCAGCGCTATTGTTGTGTGCAGGGAGGCTTGCTGAGCATATAGTGCTTTTATCCTCTTGCTTGAAGGGAGAACCGGCACAAATCACCACCGAGCAAAACTTTTAAACCCGGGGAAATAATAAAAAA